TACTCTGGGAAAGCTTCACATGGAGTTCATATAAAATGTGTGCTAGCCTGGGCCCTTAAGAGCAATTTCCCCCTCCCCCCTTATAAATAGACCTTGTTTCATTTCAGGTGAAATTTCAAATACAGAAATAACCTTTGAGCAAAACCAAAATCAGGGTTACTTTGAGTAGTTCAGTCCAATGAAATCATCAATAAAATTACTGATGTGAAAAACCACTTAGGTTGGGTTGATGAAAGACTACAATAACTTAGGATAAACATTTACAACTTCAGATAAAAGGTGATTAAAATAATAAGTAAATATTCTTTAACTGCAGATGACAGCAGCATTACAGTTAATATTTAATCATGACATTGTGAGAATATTCAGTAGTGGAAGACAGGATTAACATATTGCTTTAAAACATTCCATTACTTTCTGCATCTGTTTACTGATAATAAAAGAAACAGCTGTTCTAAATGTAACATTAACAGGTGTAAACCATTCATTTGAGATTTTAAAACAATAATTCTCCTCTGTTTCCTCCTTAGCTATTCTGAAATGACATTACAAACACCCCTCCTATTAGCTTACACAATTAACTCATAATTGTTTAACCTCTCTGCATGTCCCCAAAACGTATACATGTGGAGTTAGCTTCCTTCTCCTTTTGGGCAAAAGGCTCTGTTCTCCTGCACTGCACATCCTGAACTAATGCACCAGATGTGTCCCATAAAATGGTTGGTCACACTATTCAGCAGCTTTCCTTTAGCAACTGTTCTATATCAAATTTACTGTAAAAAAGCATCGTAATTATGAAGTAACACTGTATCAAATTCACAGACTGAATATCTCACTATGTTCGGTTAAACTATGAATGATAATTGAGCTTGAAATTGTATATTTACTTTAAATAAGTCCTCCAAATCATCTGCAACAATGTGTGCTTAATTCGAAGCCATTAACAAAAGATTTAACATTTCCACATTTATACTCTCCATAATTTCAGATACGATACTCCATACTTAGAGAGAGAGGGGAAAAAAAAATAAAAGCAAGTTCTGGTAGCCTTCCATTTGCAAAATTAAATTCATGTACCTGAAGTTTCTTATAATTTCTAAGCCATCCTGTTAAATGCTGGGTACAAATCAAACTAAATTCTCAAGAACGCTTCAATATTCTATTGAAGCCAAAAAAATAAATTCAGAAGTTTATTTAACAAAAGAAACCAAGCCCCAGTACAAAACCAAAACCTGACCTGCTTTTAAAGCAAACTCCGAAGACCAAATATTACGACCCTTTCAAAAGTCTAAAAAGTTGTTTGTTTAAATTAGTTTTCATTAAAGTAATACCAGTAAGTTTGCAGGAGAAAAAAAAAGAAATGAAATCCTTGAGATTAGGTAATGTTTGCTTGTATAACTACATAAAGTGCTTGGGAATATTGATTCTATTGATAGATATTTTAAATATTCCAGATCAGAATATGGAAATAGAGAAGAATCCATTCTAACAAACCCAAATTCCACCATCTAGATTTTACTGCTGTCAATGACTGCTAGGTGCTCCCGAAATAATTTCAATGTTCCTCTGGTTTTGCTATAGTGCTCTGAACTTTACTATTCATGATAAAGAGAATAAACCAAACAAGAAATAGTTCAAACTTCTTCACACACACTGGTTAACTGAAACAGAAACTTCATTAATAAGATTCCTACTAGATTCAGAAAAGACACATGTAAAAGCTGGCTACCTCTGTTTCATGTCTATACCCATACTTATATGCAAGGCAATTAATTTTTTCAACGAGATTTTCCTTTTTTTATAAATATAAATTGATATTCAGCAGTTTCCCATTAAAGGAATGTGCAACTTCTCAGAGTTTGGGTAAGGGAGACATCTGAGTCGCAAACACACTACCAGAACTAAACCTGCCCCAACCAATCATACAAACGATCCTCTGAAAAATGCAAAGCTACCTACAACCAAAAGGCTCTGGAAGTTTAACTGTGAGACCATGCTTTAGTCTGGAAAGCTCCTGACTGTCCCTAGGGAACACTGCTACCTGCACTAGGTGGATTTTAGGAAAGCACACATGCACACCACGAGGAGCAGGGTAAGCAAAAACGCTTTGACCTGCTGGGGACGCAATGTAAAGGAGGAATGATGCTCACCCATGGTCAGCCCCAGACCTCAATTTAAGTCCACATTGTACAAAGCCGAAATGCCAGCAGAGGGCAGCGCAAATACGAGAAGTCCCTGGAATGCCCCAGCCCGGCCACTCGTGGGGGACAAGGAGGTGGCTGCCACTCGCTGGTCCCTGGGACGCCACCACCACTCCCTGCTCCGCAGCTCTTCCTCGCTGGGAAGAGGTCAAGTACAGCGATGTGCAACTCCACCCAACATTGCACATTTCGGGTTTTCTTCTTCCTTTTAAAGAACCAAGCTGCCCCCGGAGCTGGGGACGGACTGCGTGCAGGGCAAGGCAGCCTTTGTGCGCTTCCCCGAGAGCCTCGTGGAGCACCCCGTGCTGATGCAATGGCACAGGCTGATGTGCTGCCTTCCCCAGAACTGCTGCCTCAGGCACACCATTTAACTTCTTCAAACTTGTAAACCTAGAACTGGGCTACTTCTGTTGTTTAAACAAACATAAAATGGATGCCTCACTAGAGGCATTAGTGAGAACAGCTCTGGAAAGAAAAAGTAACATTTCTTTTTGTTCACACCAGTTAAAGCAAGGAGAGACCTCCACCTGTCCTATGTAAAGCATCTCCCATGAGCAGAACACCAGTGTAACTCCCAATTTCAGCTTGCAGTCCCAACCATGAGTACCGTGGTGGGGAGACACCCAGACCGACAGCTCCAAAGCCATGCTCGAGCACTCAGTGCTGCCACCCAGCCACACATCCCCCAGTACCCCCCGAGACAGAAAACAAACTGTATGTACACGTACCCAAGGAAGAAATCCAGGGCAGCTCTCTGAGGTGTAAGTCTAGCAAACACAGCCAGGAAAGGAAGGAAGAGTCAGCTCTCATTTGCCTAAACTGGTGCACCTGCACCCACTGAAAATCCTCATGCCAATTTAATTCCATAGCAACTAAACCCACCCTGGCACCTGTGAGTACCATTTGCCAATCATGTTTTGTCCTCAGTCTAGGGCGTGAATACCTATTAAAACTTGTCCTCTTGATATAAACTCAAGTTTTATCAAAGATACTACCACTGGCTTCAGTGTAATTAGGATACAGCTATCTCACCTTCTGGAAAAAGAAGCAGCAATTATTTATCTCATTAAATACTGTATCTTATACTCTAAACTGACTAAAAGTGGTGCACACATTAATTTAATTTTCAACAACCTTAGTCAGGAGATAAAGTTCCATTCTGCAGCTTGCTTCTGGCTTTTCTCACTGTAATGGCACCTCTCTAAACTCTCAGAATTTGTATTCCAACAAGAATAAAAATAAACAAACTATAACCTTCTGTATCCCATGCAAGGCTGGGATCCTGTTTCCCCATCAGAGCCAAGGGTCACGTATCCTTCCTCTATCTCCATCCACCTTCTCACTTCGATTCTAAAAATTCACATCTTCTGCACTGAGTGACATTTAGAGCCAAGTGTGTTTGCAAGTGACATTCTCATTTTGTGCCTTGCTACCATTAAGCTTGGAAAGATACCCAGCTTGTGCCCTCTGATCATCCTTGCTCTTTATGAAAAGGACAAACTTACTTTAATGGCATAAAGAAATAATCATAGAATTGTAGAATAATTTGAATTGGACTTTTTAAAGTTCAGCTAGTACAACCCCCCTGCAGTGAGCAGGGACACCTTCACTAGATCGACTTGCCTAGAGCCCCATCCAACCTGACCTTGAGTATTTCTACCCATGGGGCATCTATTGTGTGTCTGGGTAACCTGTTGTAGTGCTTTACCACCCTCATTTTGAAAAATTTCTTTCTTACACCTAATCTAGATTGATCCTCCTTTGGTTTAAAACAATTACTACTTGTTCTGCTGCAACAGGCTCTGTGAAAAAGATAAACACACTGCCTTTCAGGTTAGAATTTACATGTTGTGATGTATGACTCTGATGCGATTTCTTAAATTAGTTCACCAGTTCAGCACCAGTGATTTTACATATCCAAACATAACATTTGCTTGTTTGGTCCAACACTCCTGTCCACAAGCTAGCTTGCACTTGTGCCTTTCAGCAACCTTCAACCATTTACCCAGCAGACACAGAAGCACTACAAAGCTAGGTCCTACCACCACGCTTTCATAGTGCCAAGGTTTGCAAACAACAGCTGGGGATGGACAGGAATTTTCAGGTGAACTTGAAACTTTTAAAACATAAGGCAAGGCAAGGCATCTGCTCTGCACAGAAGGCCTAGGGGGGTAGGTTTACAGAAGTAGGCCACTACTTGAAATAGAGGAGTAAACATTGTGTTCTGGTAGAAAGAGAATGAACCAGTTTACCAAAATCAGTAGCTCTCTATATAGCAGACTATGCCCTAGTTATGCCACATTCTCCCTGAGGGAGGACAGTTTATGTTTCCCACCCCCAAACAGTTTGTGTATAGCACTGCACCAATAAACTTCCATGGGCACCTGATTCCAGTGCTAACCTGTGCTCCTGTGACTCACATCCATTCTGCTTTCAAGCAACTGGCCAGTTTTAGTTGACCTGAAGTTTTTAAACTTTTGTACCATACTTTTAAGAACCACACTTCTGTAAGTGTAGAATTTTTGGAGATTGGACACTAGGACTGTCAATACTCATTTACATGAGCTAAGAATTTCCAAACAGAAATACAACCATAAGAAGTCTAACTATACTGCATATGGCAATGCCATATTTAAATACTTACAGCTATCTGACATTCCTTTGAAAATTAACAGCTGATCTCCTTAGTATAATAAACTTTGCCATGCTCTGTTGAAAGCAACTTCTAACCACTTCACATCTAAAAAATTTGGACATACTGGTATTTCTTAAACCTGCAGCAATAAGACAAGGAGGAAACCAGGTGAGAACATTTCTTTAATAAATTATTTTTTTAAAAAATAGTGGTGACCTGTTTCTATACAGTATATACTTTCAATTTTCGACTAGCATTTTTTATATTAATAAAGTCTTTAGGAGGTGAACATGTAACAATGAAAAGTCATTATACAAAAGCTTTGCACAAAACATACTGAAATTATAGAGTAGTGATCAAAATTAAGCAAGAGAAGTATGAACCCCAAACAAAATGTTCCATTTACTGAGTAATTTCCATGGAGTTGTGCTTGTCAACTTCTGGAATATCTGTTAAGTGATGAAAAAAAGGACGACCATGAACGCAGCCTTTATTTTCCTTTCCAAGCTGTTGCTTCATCCTGTAAATTGTGTTTTGCACATCTTCTTTTGACAAATGTAAGGGCAGCTGCCGGGCTAAACGTACTGCTTCTCCCTGTGGAAAGGAAAAACAAAACCAAAACCTCCATAGTTTTAAAGTACCACATTTTTAGAACATGAGCCTGGGGCTACCAGAAAGCAAGAATTAAGCACTCCCTCTTTAAAGGTCATCTTTTTCTGCTGCTAAATATTCCAAATCTCAGAAATCTATATATAACTTTAAACAGATCTTACTGGTCAGTTCATGACATTTCTACAATGGAGGCATGCACAGTCAGCCCTTTGGTTATGTTTGCACTCCTTTAGCCTACTTTTGCAAAATGCTTTGTGTTTCTTATTTCCTGTTGTCACCAGCATCAGCTGTGCATGTTTACCAGTTCACAGACACATTTCACACGATAAACTTTAGCAGTGTCATAAATTAATTCAGTGAGGAAAATTTGAAAGATACTCTAGCAAAACTTCATATATTAGTTTGTATTTACTATGGTCTATTGCATCCACTTAACACTAGAAAGCAGAAGTGACTGCTAAAGCACCCACCCTCAAAGAACTAAGGAACTTCAAAAAGAAGTTTCCTCCTCCAAGATGGGCCTTTCTGCCCCTGCCTTCTCTTCTGTACTTAAGTCATGCTGCCTAGACAGAAATGTATGTGGCACACAACCTCCCTTCCTACTGTACAAACCTGAGCGCTATTCATAATGATTCAATCTAAAACACCTCATTTTCTTTGTCTGAGATCTTCTCCCACTCCTCCAAGTGGGAAAAAGATCACAGTGGACTGTTTTATACCCTGGAAGGCTGCTGCTTCAACCATTACCCTATTCTTTCTTCTGCATTTATCAACTGACAGCAAAAGCTGCACACATGCTGCCTGCTCAAACATGAAATGAATGATTAAAGCTGTGATTCTGAACATGACAGTGAATGCATTTCCAGTGTTTACCTCTCAGAATGGTCAAAAAATGCAGTGCTTATTTCTGAATAACAGCTTTTATAGCTGTCAGGGGTTTTTTACAAACCATTCCTGTCTCAACACTGAACTTATCCCTTCTTTAAGCTTCTTTCCTGAGTGCATGAGAGTGGTTCAGTAGTACATAACAGAATCACTTGCTGCAAAGGCAGCTTACTACCCCCAAAAGACAGGGAAAGATTTGTGTAACACTGCTTAAAAGATATAACACATACCCTGTGTAAGTATGTGCCTCGGTCCCAGTTTGAAGAAACCTGATTCAGGAAGGCATGTTGTAAATGCTTAAATAAGAAGAGACTTTCCATATATTTTAGTAACTCTTTTGAAGAGAATTAGCATTAAAGAGCATTAGTGAAAGAGCTAGACAAGAAGCCATTACTACTACTGTTAGTTACTCCAGTTTTAACTAGTACCACATCTATTAGTTGTCTCCGAAACTTCATGCCATTATTGTCTCTGGATGGACAATTTATTTATTTGCACAGAAAATATTAACGTGAGTCACTGCCATTCTGTGGCAGTTTTGACTCCTAACATGGAAAAATGCCTCTCCAGTCTGAAAAGTGCCTTACAGAGGAAACACTTTGGGAACATCAGCTTTGGCATGTGTTATTTCACACTGGGTGACTGCTTTTGAGTGTATCTGATGGAAGTGTTTTGGTAAAGAATACACAACTCAGAGAGGATATGATACTCTCTTTTTCAAGAGTAACTTCTGTTTAGAACACGATGAAATTAAATAAAACACAGTTGAAGAAAGATTTTCAAGCTGTTTCAGGAATTATTACAAGTTTAGCTGGCTAATAGTAAAAGAAAGCTTCTCACCTCCAGGTAATTTATCACTTTGAGAGGTCTACATTCATATACTTCCTTTGCATTTCTGTTAACTACTGCATTCAGAATTTCTTTCAAATCAGAAATTCCATAATATGGCAGACAATTTGCCATCCCTTCTATTTCCAGATGACTTTCTGTAGCCGAAGCACCTGAAAACACAAAAACAAAACAGTAATTCATGCACTGCTTTAATTTCTATTCTATAGCAATTCACAGAAAATTAAACTGATGCAAAGTAATTTAGTACTTTAGTCCAATACAATTAGGCAACTTTTTTGTTCCTTCCTTGGAATGAAAAGCATTTATTTGCACAATGTTTCATTATGATGATGTGTGTTTATTCACATTAGAAATGTCTCAGCTTACATTAATCCAAATCCTAGCTGGCACTGTTTAATGCTTAAAACATTTGCAGCATTCCCAGTCTTGAGCACAGCTTTAATTAAAGCTTCTGTGACTTTAATTAAACATATATAAAATTAGACTTGAAGCTAGCAGTAAAACACAATTTAGTTTGAAAAATTTAAAACAGTGTTGGCACTATTTCCTATGTAACTGGTTTAAACATCTGTAGAGTTCAAATGTTATCATAACAAATTCTGATTCTACTGAAATAAAAAGCAGGTTTTTTTCTCCTACCACATCTGAAGAAAAACTCAAACCCATAAAACTAGAGGCTCTGTGACTCACTTCATATTATCATTCATATGGTATCACTGCTGGAGCAGGGAACACTCTGAGTAGGAATGATGAATAAAAAATGAAACAGCCTTTTAACAGAGTATCTATTCAAGTGTTGAGCTCTCTATGATTTCCCTTCTTATTCACATCACAGGGAAAAAAAAAAAGATTGAAGTTGTTCCTGTACAGCAACTTTTTTTCCATTTCCAGTTAGAGGCAAGTTCTCTGGCAGCCAGGCTCACATATTCTCATTCAATCCTTCAGACTATCTTCTCATTCACGTTGGGTGCACAGGAACCTCAGCCCAACCTGCACAGCTACCTTCCCTTTTCCTCCATTACAAGTCTAACAAGTACAAACTTTGGCACAGACAGCATAGAAAAATTGAATTACTAATGAAAATAAATCCACTCTCGTGTAATGGCTCCAGGTAGGATACATTACCTTCAGCTCAAGTCACAAATGGTTTTTATAAAAGTCAAAAGAGCTGGAGACAAATAGAATGCTCCAGGGTGGATTAAACTAACAAGCTATCACAAGGGATAATTCTTGTTCCTAATCCAAATAACAACATGAAATATTTCAAAAGTGAGAAAAAATATATATACAATGTAAACCAGCAAAATGTACTTTCATTAGCTGGTAGAATGAAGCTGAGTTATTCATGTCCAGGCACTGTTTATTTGACAGTCATTAAATAAGAGCACAGATGAACAGGATAACTGTGCAGATTGAAACTTTTCCTAAATATGGGTGTGGCACTGGGTAAATAATGCTCTTGGGCCTTTTTCATGGCATGAGATACTTTGACCAGTGGGAATTTGATATAGAGAACAGCCCCTCATTCCCCCTCCCCTCAAAAATCACATAACCTTCTCCCAGCTATGTATTAAACACTGCTTTATATCTGAAACTTTATTTAATTTTTCACCCAGCCTTGTCTTCCTTCTGTTTTTCAAGGTGCCTTTCCCTAATCACAGCCAGCAAGCAGAGGCATATTTTTATATAATACTGGAAACCTGTGTTCAGATTCAGCTTAAAGCAAAATGTTAAATTATATGAAAATTTTCCAGATATAAAGGTGAGAAAAAATGATGTACTATGCTAATATTTCCCCATGGGCAAGCCTGTCAGTAAGGGACAGGAGGAAAATATAAAGTCTCTTTTTAAAATCTCCTTCAGCTCTTTTAATTTTTGCCCTATTTTTGATTTAATTACAGATTAGATTTGAGGAACTATTCCAGACCATTTGATTATGCTGCTTTCTCTCTCAAATGAGAACTTAGTCTATTTGAAAACCTTTCAATAATTACCCCTCTATTTGCTATGAAGGACAGGACACAAATTCTTTTAAGTTTCAAGTATTTAGACATTCAGTTTAAAAACTTGTATTTCCTGTATTTAAAATTTTATGACAGTGAGAATCTGGATTTGCAAAACATTTCCTCATATATTCTCCAGCCTCACCAACAGCCATTGTTCCATCTGCAAATTTTGACAGCCAGATTTGACTCCACCATTTTCCTCTTTCATCTGAAAGTCAAAGTGGGCTTGAAACAGTTTAATGCAGGAACAAACAATACAAACCCTGGCTAAGGGAGGTTTATTTCTTTGGTAATTTTGTTTGTGTGCCATTCTCCTTTTCTGCTAACATTCTTTAGACTGTAAAGTAGCCCAGTTGCATGCTGATTAACAAGTATTTATCTGCAAGTCTCTGCAGGAACTCTGATATTGGCAACACTTGATGATATAAGCAGATGTCCAAGCCTCAGTGTACTTGTAAATTTTTGACAAAATATATATTAAGATTTTTTGAGTATTCAAACAGCAGTCCTCAAACAGTTGCCATGGTAGTTTCTCTGAAATACTTTGCAACTTCCAAGGAAAGTATTTCCATGAACAAATAAACTAGTTTTCAAATGAGTAAAAATGTGGATTTCTCATTGTTACAAATTTCCCCTTTCTCCTTCCAAACAGAGCATTCACAATCATCTTTGGATAATTCCTTCCTGATGGCCAGGAAAAACTGTTCCCTTCCAGCTGCCACCTAGATTAGGTGACACTATAATACTACCTATCTCCCAGTCTGTGGTCAAAATCAAACTGCAATGGAATTGCAGCATGGTTTTCCACTGGTGGGTTACAAGAGCTGAGACAGTTTTTATATCACCAAGAACGATGGGTTATTTACCTGTTACTGCTCTTTGGGGCCTTATAAAGCACATTCTTTGTACATACTCATGTTGACTACGTGAGGCAGACAATCCTGCCCTAAAAGCCTGCCTTGGAGCATGGCCCAAGACCCAGTACTGATCCAATTTGACCAGCTAAGGTGTGTTCCTTGGTCTCAGTTCCTCTCCAGCCAACAATTCCCATCTCTCTCTAGGCCTTTCCCAAAGGCAAACAGACAGATGTGCAGTGAAGGCACATATAATAAACACATCTTAAGAAGAACTGGACAGAAAGTAATCCATCTTACTTCTTGAAATGTTCCCTGCACGTAGGGGTCACTGTGAGCAAACAAATGCCTGGCAGGTCCCAGAACACTGAGTATTAAGTAATTTGCTTTATTAAGTAAAAGCAAACAGACTGCTCTCCCAAAGGTAGCATCACTTGAAGCCTCAGTAAGGCCAGAACATGAGGGGGTGGGAGGGCAGTGGAAGACAGACTAGAGCTCAGCGTCACAGCTTTGCAAATTACAACAACTGGCACATTCCACAAAGAAACCATTGATTTTGCCTAACTGACACACTGACAGCAAGAAGTGTTTTCTTGGCTATTTCACAACATGTTTTTCACTGTGAGCTATCCAGAGAAAAATCTAGTTGAAAACTCCTTAGACAGACGAGCAGTTAATATTAAGAGGGAGATGATACAAAGATCTTAGCCTACCAAAAACATGAAGCAGATGGGGCACTTCCAAAATCTAGGATACTTGGAACAACTTTGGCTGCAGTCATATAGAGTTTCTGAAGAGAGTAAAGGTAGATTACCTTTCTGTCTTCTAGCAAGAACATATTCAAAAAACAGACTTATCCTCAAATGAAACAAGAGGCAAGTAAGGCCTCCAACTTCCATACTCTTGCAAAAATTAACATCCAAAGGTGCATTTGTGAAAATACAGACATTTAAGCAGTTTTCCCACCAAAATGGCAGAACAAGAACAAAACTCCATGTGGAACTGAGTTATTGTAAGGAAGAAAATAGCTGATTAGACCTTTCAAAATCCTACTAGGAGTAGTGTATCTAGTGTCACATGATGCTGTGGGGTTCAGAGCAAGGCCTGTGAGAAAGACTCCTGGTAAATGAAGGGAGTAAATAAAGCTCAGAACCACCCCACTAGCTAAAACATATTGACCATTAAAGAACAGAGTTGTATTTTTAACAAATTCCAAGCATGGCAAGGGAATAAGATTCAATTTCTGAGTATTAATCCTGAGATTAAATCAAGATTAATGAATGACTCATTTTTTATCCTAGGAATGACACTGGCCCTAACATGTCATCCAAATAAGGAAAAATTAATACTTCATGGGTGGATTGCTTTTCAAGTAAGAAACCATATGAATGAAAATCTTCATAAAAAGCTCCTCTGTACCACAAATTGTCAGAAGCTAAGATTCTGAATTGCAAAGAAGCATTTTTAAAAATTATCAGTTGAGATGCAAGCCTAATGCAACACAGGAATTACCAGTAACCTCCCATATTAAGGCAGCTGCTCAGGGTTTTTTTTTAAATAAATAAGCAGTCAGTTCTGTAAAACACCCTAACACCACAAGGAAATAAAGAATAAATGTATGGTCCTATACTTTAATTTAAATCATAATAATCATCTAGGAAACTGTCCTAGTGGGGTGCACAATACCAAAGGCAAGAGGTCCAGTGTTCCAAATTAGTGTCTGGGCATTATGAGTAGACTTAATATATGGTAATGAGCAGCAATACTCAGGGTCCTTCTCTTCTTCTTTGGTAGAAAAATATCTGTAGAGATTTAAAGAAATAAGCAGTGCAACCTATTAGAGACCACCATGGGTCAAGGAAAGCCTCTACCATGACTGAAATTGCTGTATGTTGAATTGGAGCACCTAAATTTCTTTTGCTCTTATTTTGGGTGGTATCTTGGAGAGCTAGTGATGGCATCACAGACTTATTTGCACAGAACAGAAAGGCTTGTTATTTTGCAAGAAGAAAATTACCAGAAATACCACTAGCATGTTGAAATTCAAATCTTAAGAAATCAATCACTCAATCAATCAATCAATCAATCAACAAGTTTGCTTGTGACATAAGATGATCTCTGTCAGAAAAAGTAAACTTTCAACTACAGAAAATAAAACTCTTCACTCAGGATGAAAAAGGAAGCCATGCACATTAACAAGTGCTAATAAGTCTATTAATGAGAAATCAATCAGCAGTCAGAAAGGAATATCTATTATGACCATAACAGATTCCCAGAGGAAAATACAGACTTCTGAATATGCTGCAGTGGACCCTGACAGAGAGGGAGAGTTGATAGTTCAGTTCAGTTGTGAAACAGCAAATACTAGGACTGATCCAATTAATCTAAAATGTTAGGAGAAAACTAGTTACAAAGGGAGTGTGCAGAGAATGGGGTTCTGGTGTGCTCCTATGGATGCTGCTAAGGAGAAACTCTCCAGTTACCAGGGCTTAATGGCATATTTCCACTCTAGGAACTCTCCACAGCAAGCTGTGACTTTATCACCCACCACGCAAAGTAGGACCTCCGACTCAAAAAATCAACAATATATCCTGAAGAAACAAACTTTTCTGAAGGAAATTCTAGCTCAGAAACATCAGAATGCCTGTCTTTCAAGGTGTGTCCGAATTTCAAAAACCTCACAAAAACAGACACTGAATACAGACAGTGAAAAAAAAAGTAATGTTTCAATAAGGATTGTGAAAGATGTTTTATGAAACAAACTGGATCTCTCATCTGAGAAATCCTACAGAATACTCAGGTCTAAGTGGGACAAATCACTCCTGGTATGCAAGTCCTCTTCTGTAAAGATTATACGAGAATCTATGAATTAAATAACCTTAAAATTCAGTGAAATTCCCAGAGAAGGACACATTAGGATTGTTAAAAATTAATACCTGTGTGTCTAAAAATCAATTCTAATAAGTATTTGTAGAAGATAGTGTATTTCAGGGGCAAGTTGAAGAAAAAAAGGAGACACTGATTAAGTAGAAATCCTTGGATCAGTAGGAAAAAAAGCTGGGAGAAATTCCATTTGTTTGCTGGTATTTTTACCTTCATCTGCAGTGGTATGCTTTTTTAATAAAAGAGGCTTTAACTGCTATAATGTCATCAGCAGAAGCTTATAAACATGACTGACAAGACTCAGATGTTACTAACTTTTCACTCAAATAGTTAAAATAGAAGAGTGGGACAAAGAACTGAATTAGATTCTCATTCTTTACTGGGCTATTCTATGGTTCATCAACCTCCACAGTGCACACAAAGCACTTTAACTGTAAACCAAACCAGAACAGTTCCCTTGAGATTTCATTTTCTTAAATTTACATCTTAGGAACACAGGATGAGAAGACTACTTCCTAGTTACAGTGTCAAGTCCTTTGCTATTACAGTGTTACAATGCTGCTCTTAAACTAACCAAGCTGCCTTAAAAGTAGTTTCCCATTTGGTTTTGGCCAAGACAGTCAATTTTGTTCACAGTAGCTGGAATGGGGCAGTTTTGGATTTGTGCAGGAAACAGTGCTGGCAATACAGGGATGTTTTTGTTGCAGCTGAGCAGGGCTTACACAGCATCAAGGCCCTTTCTGCTCCTCACCCCACCCCACCAGTGAGGAGGCTGGGGGAGCACAAAGAGTTGGGAGGGGACACAGCTGGGCAGCTGGCCACAGGTGACCAAAGGGACATTCCAGACCATGTGGCACCAAGCTCACAGAGCTGGGGGAAGGAGAAGGAAGTGGGGTGCTGTGATGATGTTTGTCCTCCCAAATCACCATAACCTGGGATGGAGCCCAGCTTTTCAGGGGATAGCTGAACACCTGCCTGCCCATGGGAAGCAGTGAATTAATTCCTTTTGTTTCATTTCTGTACACTACTTTTGCTTTACCTGTTAAACTGTCTTTATATCTCACAAGTTTTCTCACTTTTATTCTTCCACTGAAGGGGGAGTGAATGAGTGGCTGTGTGGGGCTGAGCTGCTGGCTGGGGTTAAATCATGACACATCTGCAGTACTATGAGATTGGTCAACAACTCTCTGCTGTTGCCTAAAAATAAACTAGAAATTAAACTTCACCCAGGATGAAGAACGAATTGTCTTCAAATTTTCACATTGAATTTATTCATGTCTAGTTTACATGAACCACATTTGAAGCAAACTTAGAATATTAGGAGGTAAAAAAAAAAAAAAAAGTTGGTGAGCAAAACTGCTAAGCCACAATCCCATGTTTGCCTAGGGACATATCAGAGATCTCCTCAGCTTTTCATTTGCTTGTCTGAATAAACCATATAAGAGCTACCTCTTACAGTACATGTTTTATTTCCATAATCATTCACTCCATGATTATTGTAATGATTAATACCAACACCTCTTCTAGTAAGGTGTTGGTATTTATGTAGAGATTTAGCCAGTCAGAAAGAAGTTTCCTCGTTTTTGCTGTGCATGATTCAGTAAGGAAAACAGCTTTGGCTCTGTTCTTCACAAGAGCCAGCCTCTGAGTGAAGGAGTTGGTCTATATCCCTTTTTTGTACCTACCCTTAAAAGATCCCATATGTTACAGTACATCTGTCATCACTGTACATATGTGGGGATCTGTAACACATGAAGCTATAGCATTTCTAACAGCTCTTATGGCCAATCTTTTCCCTGAGCTGTCAGCTAGGTGCTACCCCCAAAGATGATTGCTTTTCTTGCAATTCTACTATAGAATTCGTGATCTGCAGAACCAACACTGGGTCACCCCTGTGTTTCTAATGCATCCCTAGAAATGATTCTTCAGAAAGATGTAAATACATTTGAGCTCTCTTAATAAAGTAAAAGAATCTTATATGAAATGCATTTATTCTGTGATGCATAGAGAGGTACTGAAAAGTATACTCCTTCAAAATATATTCAGATCAAACTCCAAGAAAAGGTGTGGTGAACCTTAAACGATCTCTTCGCTGGCCCCTTTGGGCTCTGGGTTACAATTTTAATAATAATAAGCAGAATCCAGCTCCATACTGGACCTCTTCAACTGCTCAGCAGTACAGGAGTAGTCAGCCAAAGCACATACTTGCAGAAGGTGCCTGGGCTAAGGAATTCTTATCAGTTTAATCTAAATTATGTCAGAATGGCAATTAAGGATATGGGCATTGAGCATTTTGGGAAAAGAAGAAAGAAGTGAGGAAAACATGGATTTCAGAGCATTAAAGTTTTCTGTTCAAGCATCAGTTTCCACTACTCAATGTTCTGTGTGGAAGATTACATTCTTTGCCAAGAAATCTCAATGTTATGGAAAGCAGAATGCTAGTGCTTTAAAAGACAAGGGGAGGCAGAATAACATGATCCATATTAACAGTAATTTGAATCATTAAATCATAGGAAACAAGCTCCAATGCAACTAATAGCTTTTAAAAGCATCATACCTTCTATCACTTTTATCTGGAATCCATTTGCTACAAGCCTTGGATCTGACAAATAACCTGATCCATGGAAACTGTGGTAATTCTTCTGCATTTTATGAAGAGCAGCCATATACTGAGATCCACCAATAAGACTGGAAAAAAAAAGATCCCCGAAGTGTTAAAAATCAACAACACTTACGTGAAAATTACAAGTGTGCAAAAACCACAGAAAAAGGTAGCAAGTGATAAGGAGTGACCAAGACTTTTAGAAGTATTTTGGAAAAGCAATTTGTTTAAAGAAGCAAAATGAGAACTATTCACTTATCTTAGCGAGGGATTGAGCTTAGACAATCAGTAATAATAATTCTATCAGCCACCTCCTATTTCTTGGGGGGAAATTAAGCTACAGTGAAGTGAAAATGCAGAGCATTTCATTTCCTTCTGGGAGCGGAAATTTGTACTTGCTACACTACCAATGGAATTGGTAAAAAATCATACTTATTCCAACTACAATAAGACCAAGTGTTCTCATTACTTCAAGATCAAAGCAGAAAAACAAAAAACTGTTTTAATAGATAAGTGAGTGCACAGATAAGCACAGCATTAGCAAAAAGGGCCTTGCCAGAGTTTACTGTAAATCATTATCAAATGATGTTTCAAGGAACATACACATTTTTGCTCAATTAGTACTATACCTGTCTGTTAACACAATTGGATTGTCCAGTTTCTCTACTGGAAGCTTATGGTTCATCAGTAACCTCTTACATAGCAGGGCCTCTTCCAACCTATATGGATTCAGCACTTTTACATTTTTTTCAGTAGCAAGTATCCAGACATCAGGGAAACTCTGACGACGGATGAGGAAAAGCTCGTGTTCATCTGAAACATTTTTCTCTTGCCTCTGAAGGTGACGTCTACAGGAACTCAGAGAAAAAGGCACTGTCACAATTTTCACAGGCTGTTCCAGTCTCCCCTTCTTTTCAATCTGGTCATGAAATATCCTGTCAAGCTTCTGCTGGTCAGATGCAGAACTCTTTAGCTTGGTTTTGTGTTTTCCTGCCTCCTTGGCTGGTCGGTGCATTGGCTCTGCATTGGCTTTCTTGACTTCTCTGTTGTACCGTTCCTGGTCCTTAGTGGCTTTTATTTCATAACTTAAAGGAGAAAACAAACCAGTAGCATCAGCAAAAGCTCCAGACCCCAACGCCTAACACACTAAAGCAGAAGGAAAGGTAACCTTTTCAACAGCCAAGAACCACATTCATGGTCCATTCAAGTACCCACATCAGTATGCTGCCCACTGTCATGGAGGTGGTGACTGGGCCTCTATTACATCACACCTTGAACAAAAGCTGGAAATTTTCCTTTATCTTTCCTTTAAGACAGCCAGCAAAACCTCAGTTACTCTAAGGGGGAGGAACTATTACTCTAAGGAATAGAGTGCATCATATAAAGATCTACAGCAAGGTTCTTATCACCTGAGTCCCTTGTTTAATTTGCAATCAAAACCAGAGTTTTGGAAGGATTTTTTTGTTTCAGGCACACCCAGCTCAATTCACAAAGCTTCTAGAACTCTACAGCCTTCCAGGGGAGGCCATGGAGCTGGCAGGATTTTGGAGCTTGAATAATTTCTCAAGCCCCAGTTCTTTCTTAATAAAAACGTATTTGATTTCAAATGGCCTAAAATTAGCCATATAAAGTTAAAGAATACAGAATATGTATGATTATCACAGAATTCCTTAAGTAATAATCAATCTTACAGATTTTTCAAAAACAGTCAATAAAAAAAATACTCCTAAATGCTGTCTAAATGGTTAAAATATTACTACATACTAAACCTCTATAACATGAATGGATTCTTAATGAGTTTATAAATGTCAGGGAGATAACTAACTTTTATAGGTCCCAGGTTTATGCTTGTCTACTGCATATGAATTTTACTTTTCTGAAAGCAAAGGTTGTGATTTGCTGAACTCCCTCTTTTTGCCCTTATTTGATATTCTGAATTCTAGAAGGTAATTCAAACCAGTCTAATCTTCAATTAAAACAAAACAAAAAAAAAAGTAGTACTATCATATGTTAGTATTGGAAATAAGCATTTTAACTGGTCATATTTATTTATTGCTACTTGCTGGAACAGTTTGATTCAATTATGTGTATGCACGCTGGAAAATTAAGGTCAACAAAAGGGTCACCATTTGCAATTAATTATGATGTGCTAGCATTCACATATGGTACCAATATTTAGTTAACTAAAAAAGTCAGCTTAAATAGTTTCTTGCAATAAATCACGTCCTAGAAAATATGGAGCAAACATTAAGATAAAAAACATCTGCTCCTTTTAAAATGAATGGATGAAATCACTTGAACACATTTTTTTTAATCCCAAATTCATTTACAGCTTTGACCAGATCAATAAATACTTTGATTTGAATAGACCTAACTGTAATGCAGAAAAATTATTTAAGTGTAAGAGAACTGAGCCCTCAGTGATCACTGATAATCCAAAATGAACACACTTCCAAACAAAGCCCAACTTGCCTGTCAGTTTAAACTACCACCAGAAAAATTCTAATTTTACAAACTTTGATTGTGAGCATCTTCCAAATTCAGACACACCAGTATCAGTGATTTGCCCAGAACCAAAGAAAAAGGAGGGAACAACTTTGCCTTTTTGAAAATCTTTCTACAGAGGAACATATAATCAACGAGTGCTACAAGAACAGCATTTCTCTGCTTTGTGAATTCAGACTGCAAATTAAGGATCTTTTTCTGATGCTACAAAACCTAAAGCCAAGAAAATTTGCAAAACTGGATGTAAGCAGAGAATGGAAGACTAGAATAAAGTCTAGTTTCAAAGGTAGCTTTGGTTTAATTAGCAAAAAGGATGCATGATATATTCTTTCCCCCTTGCAACGTAAACCCGAATACAATAATCAGCACACTAAAAAACCCCTTTTAATGTATGTCTCTCTGGCCTTATAAGACAAATAATCTGAATTTGAGTATTTGTTGCAAACTCTGACAGCAAAGACCACGCTACCTGAAAAAATGTTTCTCCCAAGGTACAAATCTACTCATGAAGAATTACTGCAGAGTGCTGACAAGGTGATTTGTTAGTCCCATGACAATGTGTGTAGCTTTGAACCTTTCCTACACCTTGAGGGTAACTACTCCTGCCACTGTTATGGCACTTGGAGGGATTTCTCCCACTCCTACCTGAGCCTGATATGCAGGAAACATTAAGGCCAGAAATACATGCAAGCTGTATTAAGTAAGAGCTGAGTGACTGCAAGGAATGAAATCCTTTGCAAAAGCAGGGGGATATGTGATGCTGCCAGCATGGACATGCACGGAGCTTTCCTCCTCTATTATAACCTAAAGACCATAACATTTGACATTCCGGTTGTGTAATAAATGCTGGCTTGTTTTGAAAAGGCCATCCTGTGTCACTATGAGACATCTGGTGCTTGTACTACTCCCAAATGGGATTTAAAGTAATTTAGACCCCATGGAGGAGCCACAGAGAGTAACAGAGATGCTGAAACCATGCAGACCCATTGCACAAGGCAGGACTTTATCACATAAGGATGGAGGACTGGAGCTCAGGAAATGTGGGGCCGTGCCAGCATGGATGCATGAAGTAGAGCTGTGGCATTTGGCTGCCCTGATGTATTTACATTTGTTGTTACCTCTAGGTGGCCCAATTTATCCAGAGTACCTGGAGGAAAGACTTATGTTCTCTGACACAAGTCCTTATGGATTGCTGCTCTGCAGGAAAAGTTGTCTGTGTATCTCTTCCTATTTGCTATTCTCTGAGGCAATTTTAAGACCATAAATGTGGCAAGGTAAACCAAAGCTGGTATCTATAGATAGAAGTAGTGGTGAATTCTTCATTTCCTTCTACAGCCATGGGATTCAATCCTACATATAAGGAAAACTCGATTACCAGAGAGGTCTCCTTCCTGAACTAATGCAAAGTTAATCTGTAGGCACACTCTTTAACATAACAGTTGTACCAGGAAAGCAACCATGAAATCTCAAAAGCTAAAGCAGAGCAAATTAAAATTTTCTGAAACAGCTGGCAGAACCTTTTGTTTCATTTCATTAAAAGCATGAATATAATTGGAGTAGATTTCTACCATTACATTAATATTTCTGCTTATGCAGAGATGAACAAATCACTTTCTCACGTGCATGGGTTTGTGACCATGGCATGCTGCTTGCACAGTAAACTTTAAATTAGGTAAACCAGAAGCTAGGTGAGAAGGTTTCACTTAACTCTGATATAGCTGACATTCAGAACAATGCAGATGTCTTATTAAAATATTTCCTTTTCTTGCAGATGGATTTCAAAAACTCAGTGACAATTCATTTTAGAAAAATAAGGAATTTAGCTATTCAAATTGCAGCCTATGAAGAGATTTGGTCTTGTTTGAAACAGATTAAAATTTAGACTGTGCTATAGTCTCTGAAGCAGCACTGCAATGGCTGTTTGGGGAAAAAGTAATTCCTTTTGTCATTTGATTGGGTTTTGCAAATACAGTTCTGAGGTTGGGATACAAATGAGGAATGAATTTACCCAATGTTCGAATAACAAAGTTCCCAAAAAAGAATTCTGACTTTATAGTAATAAAAGTTGAACAACCTCTAAAGAACTCTACAGTGCCTCATCTATCACCTTGCTGGTTTTCAAGGACAGTGCATTGGGAGTGATACTATAAAGGATTCAAAGAGTCACTTTCTTGCCTCTTATCTTAAGTAACTATTCAGCAGAACTGTCCCTAATTACTTCTGTTCCTAATCTAACTACTGCATAGCACAATGGCAGAATGAATAATTCCAATCTGCAGTGCAGAACTGCACAGAGTAAAACACGACAACTCACAATACTGAATCTGATCTTGAGAAGTCAAAAAGCAATATCTATTTTTTTCATAAATAACTGGAACATTACAATTTTTCAAATCCATTACAAGTGACTTTTTGGTAGCTTCCAGATTCAGAAGCAAGACACGGCCTGAACTTACTTCTGTTTTTCCTCTTCATTCAAATTCTTCCACCGCTCTTCAATTGTCAGCAGGATGTCATTCATGCTGGTCTTTGGATTATCATTTATCAATTGTGGACGACATTCATGTGTGAAAAATTCAAATGCAGACTTTGGTTTCTTTATTATTCTGCTATTAATTAAGTCATAAGCTGTCACATGTCCAAACTTTTCACTTATCACATTTTTTTTCTTTATGCTTTGATTTGAGATTTGTGGATCACTGCTTTTTTCACCAGTGTATTCATTTTGCTTATTAGTTGTTCTTTCAACTTCAGGAATCAAGATCTTAACAGGTTCCAGCTTGTCTCCCAGACTGTCTTTAAATGCACTTCCCATACTCCAACTATCAGCAGAGATTTCAGGTAAGTCCTTAGGGACTAAGGCTTCGTCATTGTTACCTGTTTTGTCAATATTATCAGAACTCAAAAGATGCTCACTGGCTCTTTTAGACTCGGGGTCCACAGGAACACTTTTACTTTGAATACCAGCCATATTCTGTCCATTCTGTTCCTCCTCACACAATAAATTTAAGGAACTGTCTGGAAAGGCATCACTCTTAGAAACCTCTCTTCTGTCCAGGCGACTGTGTACATTATCACCACTAAATGTCTGATGATTTAAGCAGATCTCTGCGTTTTTTCCCGCTTGACAGTTTTGCACATCACTGCTGAGTGAAAGGAATGAAGTATGAGCATGTAGCTCATCACTTCCAGATGGTCCCATTTCATTAACAGCCACATCTGTTTGGGCTGTTCTATGAACAAACATGTCTTCTGAGGTAACATCTGTTTTATTACTTTCACCAGGGACTCCAGCAGGTAGTGGCCCATACAGTGATTTCAACACATTTTCAACTGCAAGTAAGACAGATTCCTGGAAAAAAAAAGAAAACACACATACACACACACACAAGTGCACCTGAAAATGTAATTGCCAGATACCAAGAATACAGAACAATATGCAAAATGCTCTTACTTGGAATAATTTTTAGACAACTCTGGGCAGATTACTGCATTTCAGTTGTTCACACATTCAAAAAGACTCTGAACTGGACACCTTCAGCCTCAAATATTTTGTGACATGTATTCTGCTTCACTAGTTTACTCTGATATCACAAAACCAATTAAATGATTTCTTTACAACAGGGTTTTGACTTCTTAAACCAGTATCAGGTAAAGTTATTTCTACCTACTATGGAGTTAGAAGTTTACAGCCAAAACAGGTGCACCAGCAACATCCAATTCCATGTGAATGTGTTTGTGCAGGTGCTTTTATGGTGCATGTTTCCAAATCAACTTTGCACCAAGTGATGGAAATGAGCAAGATAAAAAACCCAAACCCCTAAAAAAATAAAAATAAATTAAATAAAGAAAAAAAAGAGAGAAAAGAAACGCCAACCCTTTTTTTAATGCCAAGGAAAACTAGGTCATATGTAAAAATGATGTATTAATTTTCATACAAGTGACACTACATTTATAAGAGTAACACAGACAAATACAGAAGTTTTCTATGAAGAAGAGGATTAACATATTGGTGTGACTACCTATATTAATTGTGAATAAGCATATTAATAATCACCAATGCAACCTTTCTAATTTTTGTGGCACTTAATTGATGTCATCAATATTCTATACAGAGAATGACAAAATAGTGCTTTGATGAAAAAATCAACTCCCCTCCTGCCCACCCTCACCTTAATAGTGGAATTTAAACAGTGATTGCTTGGTTTAAATATGATGTTAAGCATGAGATTTATGCAGAGCCACCTATCAAAATTTCACTTAGCTTCTCTCACTGTAAAGCCAATTGAAACCAAAGTGGTACAGATATATATCTGACAGTATCAAAATCTTTTAAATGAACTAGGAAAACTAATTTTGAGGAATCTCTCAGTTAGCCTGTTCAGTACTTTTTGATCAAAACAGTGCTCTGACAAAGGCAAGCTGCCACGTAACTAAAAAAATACTGAAAATTCAGTGACCGTGTTTAAGTCTGAACATTCTGATAGTCCCAAGGCCCTTATTATACTTATAAAAAGACTGACAACTCAAAAACAGAGTAAAACCTTAATTACCTTATAATGCAGCAAAACTTGTGTTTTATCAGGTGTTATATTCACATCCACAGCAGAGGCAGGTACAGTAATACTCAAAAAGAAAACAGGATATAAACGACTACAGTCCTTTTGTGTCACCTGACTGTAGTACTGGCGAATTAACTAGAGATTGATTGAATAAAGAGATGTCAGTAAAGGCAGTAAAATAGGCAAAATGCATAGAAACAAAATCTGACATTATAAAAGCATAACTGGTCTGTTGGTTTTGACAGTTTTTCAAGTTAAAGAAATGCTTAGAAGGTCCTCACTTACATGTAAGCCAGAATAATCACTAAAAGGGCAGTTCCTCGTGGTTTCCATGCCTTCATAGCATGGAGGTAAAAGTGATATATAGCCTATTTTCCATGCAGGGCACTGTATTTTTACTTTGTATGCTAAATCCCACCTTGAATCCAGGCTTCCCAGCTCTTAGTAATGAACCATCTCTGTCATGGGATTCAAGATAAGCTTTGAACTCCCAGAAGAGCCATGCACATCAAATAATGCATGGAGATGGATTACCCTTATTCAGCATTTAACATACCAACATAAGTTCAGGGTTTACATCTACATAGCTCTGCCTGCCAAGTGAAAACTACCGTTGTGTCCACTTTAAAACCTGCAGGAACACTTTGGCATGAGCATGACTTTCTTCCCCAGTGATGACAAGGATTAGGACAGCAAGGCTGCTCCAAGTGAAGTGCTGCAAGGTTCAGTAGTGAGAGAAACCCAAGAGTATCAAATTCTGCCTACACAATGCCTAGCTGCAGCCAATGCTGCTGCACTATCACTTTCATTTCTACCCAATGCATACACAAATTTAAAGGGAAAGCATGGGTGTTTGCTTGATAAGCCCACAGCTGGAAGTGGACAAAATCGAAACTATTTTACAGAATTCTCTTACAAGAAACTACAGAAAGTTCCCTTACAGGAAATTGCACAGGTGAGTTCTACAGGCTAATACAAAGAATCAACTATTCTGGTGTCTTGCATAGAGCATTTGAAATTACTTTTCTTAGACAGTCAAAAACACAACTTCCAGCTCTTTGGTCTGAGTGCAGCAAATGGAATAGAACTGAGGCACCAGTAGTGTCAGACTTGTGGAAGGGCTTTCTGTTGTAAATGCTAGTATCTTCACTTGTAAAATACTCTTAATTATTTAATGGGGGGGAAAAGTTGTAGATTGCTTAGGTATCTCTGTCCTCAAAGAAATCACATTTCTATTCCTTTAATTAAAAGCTAGAGGATGTTACCTTCAGTATTTCCTTTTGAATAACTGGACGATTATTTATAAAAATGAAACTCCTTTCTGAACTTGAAAGGCTTGTCAAAGAACTGTCTGACTCAGCTTTTGGGAGAAATCCAGAAAGGTTTATCTGCAATGATAAAACAAATACAGTGCAAAAGTCTTTTAAAGAACCCAACATGGTTTTTTTTATAGAGGTGAGATAGTAAAACAAGAGTATAGGATTCCAAGTAATTCAAATGCATGCACTGCTTCTTGATAGTCACAATATACAAAGATAAAGGCAGTTAGAGAAAAAAGAGGCTGAGAAAGATGGGTTTGTATCTATTTTGCTTGATCAATTTACTGACATATTTCCCATTTGGACTGGCAGTTGCAGCAGGACGCTGTCTGGAGCTGAGGCTGTGGAGAGCCAGGCCAGCAGCTCTTGGCTTGCTGACTGTGGGGTTGCCAATGTAAGTCCTGTCCAAGCCAAAGGCACAGAGCACTGCCCAACCTGGCAAGGGCAGCAGTGAATCACCCCCACAGGGAAAGCCCGAAACACACAATCCCTCCCTTTCTATGTACAGAGCACCTTAAATAGCCTGTCACAGGGCATTTATTCAGGGCACCTAAATTTACCTACGCCACCTGTATCCAAATCATCTGACTCTCAAGTGCTGAGCACCCACGATTCACAGGCTGCAGCAGAACCTGTGAGCACAGCACTGCCAGGGAGCCTTGGAAACAGCACATGATTTGTGTACCTAACACGATCTCCAAGTTTTAAGATTTTTCTGTTGAGATTCTTTAAAAGGTTCTTCAGGTCAAAATAAGGCCGATGGCTTGTGCTGCTTGTCCCATCTCTTCCCCCTCTCCCCCACTAAGCAATTTTGAAACCACTGGATGGATTTCAAATCAGTCTGATAAAGAAGCAGAAATCCCAAAGGTGTATTTCCACAATTCCTGTGATAACTGACAGCTGTTTGGAGAGAACAGCCTCAAGATAATGACCTTACTAAAGAAAAAGCAATTGCAACTTTTCAAAAGCCAGGAACTAGCAGCATGCAAGAATTGACATCCTGGGCAGCCCATATCCTGCCCCACAGATTGCCCTCCTCCACCTGCCCAAACTAACAGGTGAAAGAACACTAGGGCAGCATGAGGATGAAAATTTTGGAAATATGAGAAAGTCCGAAGAATGTTCTGATAGCAGGGTGGATCACTGAACACAGAAACGAGTCCTCATAAGCTCTGCTTTTGGCAGAACCCCTTGTATTTACTAAAATCCAAATTATCATGCATTTGAAATGGAATTTAGATCCATGGGATTTGGCCTATCCTTCCCATTCATGTACGTCACGCAGCTATCTGCTCATGTGCTCCCTTATTCCCTCCTGACCTTGTACCAAGCATTCTGTGCTAAAGCTGGCGTGTTCTGGTCAGCAACGTCGCACAGAACCAAACACCACTGGTCAAATTAAAGAGGTGTCAAGTATCTGTTGGATGATTATCAGAAAACAACACGCAGCACTTCTAGATTTTATTCTGCAACTTTAGCACATCCTCCCTCAATGCTCTTCCTGTGTGCTTCAAGCTCTTTTTCTAATTCACAAATATTTGTCCAAGTCTTTCACTTCAAACAATACTTTCATACACAGAAAACATTTATGCAAAACTGAAAGTCTCTAAATAACTCATTTAACAAGTTGCCAGATTTAGAAATGGCTGACTGCTGTTACTATTTACAGCCATGTAGAATATCAGTATGCTCATTAAAAGTTATCTACAATTTATAATACTAGTTTTAGTAGAATTTTCATGCATGAAAGTGTATGAAGACAAAATTACTGAGACTGAAAAATACTAATGGAACTTTGATTTCATACTAGATCAACTGTTTTCAAAATTAATACTTTAATAAAAACCACAACTTATATATGCATTAAAATATATCTGTGATGGGTGGACAGCAGAATGCCTCTCTTTTTTACTTGTCTTTCTCCCAGTGGCACATGTAGCTGCTAAACTTAACCTTTATAGGAAAAGAAGACACTAGGGAAATTTCCTGTGTGAAAGTTTTCAGCCTAAATAAATCTATCCATTAACAAGACTGGGGATCTGAAAAGTGCAAATACTGTCTTGTACTTGTAAAAAGTTATGTCAGTTCTTTATTATCTTGGTTTTCTTTTTATTTGACAAATAGCTCCTGAGTTTGCATGCTTCAAAGCTAATTTGAAATGTGCTCCTGTTTCATTCAGTGCTCATAATGGAGATGTTTTCAAGAAGGCCAGTCTTCAAAATCCCTGAATCACCTGAAGAAGTTTTAACTCTGCAGTAAGGAACAGCAAGATTAGTTTTGTCTTCAGAGTAGACTTTGCAGCAGAAGAGCATGAAGCTACACAATGAACAAATAGGAGTTACAAGAATTAGAGAGCTGCCCTCTGCTTTGTATAGCAAATGAGACACAGACTGAATGGGAAGGAAAAAAGCAATATATGCCTTGCCCTTAAATACCTGTACAAATACCTGCACATAAGGGAGGAAAAAATGGTTACACAGGCAACTTAACTGTGTCACTTCGTAGTGTTTGGCTGCCTAGTTTAGAAATGTCCACAGTTTTGAACGTCGACATTATGCATGGATCACTTATACACCTATAAATGATGCACATGGTATTTTACACACTATTTAGAGACAGAGAGAGAGATGGAATGTTCCCCAACTTCTATTCAAGGAATATGGATGCCTCACGATATAGCAGAGAAGTAATGTGAGAACCTAAGTGCCTCCTCCAAGCTAGTCCCTTCTAAATACCCCCTTATCTTCCCTTTGGAGCCCCCTGCACTTATCCTGGGCACATCCAAACTACATTCAGGTAAGAATAGCTCTGGATGTTCTGTTCAGACATAAACAACTAAAACTTTGTAAAGTACAGGAAGTGATTTTGTTTTGGTCCCCCTCATTTTACTGCATTTATAAAAGTATTCTGGCAAACTCTAGATTTAAGTCTGAATAATGCTATTAAGCAGTACATATACAGTGAGACTTTAAAGTCTGAATTATATAATAATAATAATGATGCTAATAATATTATTATATGCTAATATTATTAAGCACCATGCTGAATGCAGCATTGGTAAGTTGTCTAAGAGCCATTGTGACTTTACAGTGATTCATCTCATCCTGTCAAGGTTTATTACTATGTGCTAGAGGAAAATGCAGCTTAGAAGGTTCTAAGGCAGCAAGATTCCCCTTTAATAAAAACGTCTCCAACAAAAATGGAAGCAGAGTAAAACATTTTTGAAAACATTAGACAGAGTAGGGTATAATGGGGAATTCCCTCATTTTCAGAATGGGCAAAAGAAGCCAGGTACACAGAATTTTCTGAAAACCAGCAAATACTTCATTGAAATATGTGTATGGTGGAAATTTTGCATAACTTGCCCTTCTAAGTATGTGTTTCTTTTGCTGCTCAGGTGCCCCCACTGAAATTGAGGGGATACTCTTTAGGGTACAAGGCTGAGAGGCCACGAAGATGAGAACCATTTAAATGCTAAGGTATTAATCAAAGCACAACCTGCCTGTAGGCCAGGAATCCCAACTGAGACAGCTCTGAGCAATCAGCAATTCTGCATTTGTCATCACAACTGTTTTTACTGCCATTTGATCAGTGCCACATGAGTCCTGACGAGGTGATTCTTGGAGTGGATTTTCAATCACCAAACCAATTAATTTTACGGAGAGGACAGTAATAGAATCAAATGCATTAATCAGATGTCAATCTGGAGACACATCTTCTTTTTTGAATCTCCTTCTACTTGGGTACTTCTTTAACTCTCTTTCATTGACAGACCTGAAGTGGATTTGGGAGAAGGAAGTTTAAACTCACCTCAGGATATTCGCAGCCATGTTGAAAAGGTACCATACTGCTCATAACGGCTGTTCCCAGAACTGACATACAGGCCATTTTGTGATCTGATACCCTGGTCTTCTGCCAAATAACTGCCTGAAACAAATGGCACAGAGTCAAATTTTTGACATTATATTTGTTGAACTCATGTCATGTCTATGAACATGCATATGCAACTGCACACACACTGTATATGTAACATTCTGTACCTTGACCCTCTGAAAATCACAACTTTCAGTGTTAACAGACTCAATATGATACCTTCTGACACATCTTCTCATATTGTATTACTTATTGAGACACACAGCAATTGGAAAACTAAGAAAAGCTTGTATTCACGCATGTTTTGTGGCTATTATGGACTTCTGCACCTGAGGGCAACTGTTAACATGGAATCAATACAAATATTACTTCTCCTCTTAGATATACAGCAGTGGGCTTTGTGCTTTTCCTGAGCAGTTAAAGTGAGAATTTATGACATGTCTCTCACAGGCTGGTCAATATTTGAAGGTGGACACTGCAATGCTTAAGTTACTTATACCAAAGAGGTTGCTTTGGTAGAGATCAGGCTATTAGGTGTCCACTCATAGCTCTCACCTGGATACTTTAGGCCTGTGACACGCCTGCCATTTAGAAAGAAAATCAGTTTCTAAGGAACTATATATTAGAAATGAAGTTTTTTGTCTAATGAAAACTGTACAAGTTGAAAGGATGAAGGACCATCTGCTGTATTAGCTACATGTCTTGAAATATTATTACAAAGACTTAATAAATACAGTAAGGCAATATGAACTGCAACTTACAACAGAAGTTACTTGTCAAGTCCACTTATGCATACAGAAGGTATTAGCTACTTTGGGAGATGAAATTTTGTTTATCACTAATGAGAAGACCTATGCCAAATACTCACAAATTTAATTCTGAATCTGCTTTCATTGCTGTGTATCAACAACGTTGATAAAAATGTTATCCTTGGTTGGTTTTCCGCTTCTAGGCAACTGAGACTGCTACACTCAGGTCCACTTCATTTTTGACACTGTTAGCTGCCTGAGTGTATTCAATGTGCAACCTTTAAATACAAAGGGAAAAATAATGCAACATGTTGCATTTTTCAGTTGGATGTTATGGTGCTATTAAAATTTATACCCTCAGTAGGTACTACTTCAAGCACAGGCTGTTAAGTGAAAGGATGGTGAGAGAGCAAAAAAATACACAAACATCCATCTCAAGAAATGCTATACATAGCCTTAAAATTCCACCTGTCCAGTGGAGTATTTGCTGCCCTTCAGGGGTGAATTCCACAGAAGAACACAGTTCTCTTGGAACATGATATTCCCTTTCTACAGGACAGGTGGAACTGTAAAGCTTTGAGACTGTTGACCCTAAACTATTTCCCAAATCTTTAATTTTCCAGTTCCACATACATTCTGCAGCATTTGTGAAGTGGGACTTTTTAGTCCTGCCTGAATGTAGTTCATCTCCTATTGAGCAGCCTGACAGTCCCTTGCACACGCTGCATCACAGCTCGATTATTCTACAGCGAGGTGAAACTCAAACATCAACCACAATTTACATCAGGGGGGCAGCAAACAGAAAAAGGGGAGATGGAGAAAAAAGGGGAGAAGCAGAGCCACAAGCTGGGTGTCCACAGCTCTGTCAGGGAGTCCCCCCGTGCTCCAGAGCAGGCAGAGGTGAAGGACAGCCTGGGGCTGCCTCTCAGCCTCTGTCCTCTACACCTGCTCTAAGCCTCCTCAAAGACATTCTGGAGTGATGAAAGAATCTGTCCTCTTCTTTATAGCTCCTCTTATAAAACATATCCTGTACTGCTTCTATTTTAAAATTGATTACTTAAAATGGAAACAGAAAGTGCCAAGTGATTTTTTTCTTTACTGGATATATTTTAAATTAAATGCATGTGACCAAACTGAGAAAGACACTTGTTACATGACTAATATAAACATTATGCTGTTTATTTTAGTGTATCCTAGTGTGATGCTGCAGGTACAGATATAATCTTAGCTGCTGATTAATGCAAGCTTATTACACAGCTTGACCTCCTAGAATGGGTGATACTCAGAACTGTGAAAAAATCACTTCAGTAAGGTGATTTCAAGAAAGCTGTGGAAAATGAGAACTTATTAAATGCAAACTTACTAAAAGTAGATACTATAATTGGTTCAGATTAGTTTTTTTAAATAGTCATATACCCACCAGATACTTATACTCAGTACTACAGACAGAATTTTAGGGAATAGTTACCACTGTAGGTTGAATTAAAGCCACAAACTAAAGAGGCGACCCAGCTCCTAAATTTCTATACTATATAAAGACACAATAGAGTGTATATTCATTTTTAGCTCTGACTGCACATTACGAAGCAACAATATAGGAAAAGCTGCTAATTTACAGAAAATTATTTTTCTAGATTCCCCAGATGTATCAACAGGCATTAAAACAAATCAGAGAAAAAAAGCCTCTTCCATTTCATTTATTTTGGAAAGTGTTGCCATGAGTGTTCCTGCAATACCCTATTTTTTTAACCTTGCTTATACCCTTTAGTTTAGCTAAAAATACACCCCTCACACACCCCCCATATTTTTTTTCTAGGTCATATAAAGCGGGTGTCCAGGATGAGCCAAGGAAGAATCTGATTCTAGTCAGTATGATGACGCTGCAGAAACAGCCTACTCAAAGATATATTATTACATATGGCCCATCTTGGGTTCTGCAAGAGCTAGCCAAATATATTCCACCTCTCTCTGTTTCATTGAAGGGGATTGCACGATCCAGATCTTACAAAATGTCATAACATATAAAATCTATTGCACATATGCAGAAGATAAATACACGTGTGTCTGTGTGTACCTGTTTCTCCACCCCATGCAGCCCTAGGACACAGGCATACTTTTGTGGAGGATGCCAATGTACATTTCAACCTAAATGATTGTATGACTCCATGCACACAAGGACTAGGCACCTGTATTTCAGGATGAACACATACAGTGCAGAAGGATTGCTTGAAAAATGTGTCAAGCGTGGAGAAAGAGTGTGCAACCTCTTCCCACTGGGGTCTCTGCTATATAGCACTACAGAGAATTAAGAGCTGCTCAGTACTTGTTTCTTCAAAGATCCCAAGGAAGAACAGAGGGAAAAAAAAAGCAGCTGCTCTGCATACCTAACTAGCCTTCATCTTTCAGAATTTCTACCAGCAGCTACAATGATTTGCAATCCCACATAAAAGTAAAATCTTAATTAGAGCTGGGACTGGATGCTGTTTCCGACTGTAGCTACTTCAGCACAATTATGATGCCATGAGCTAAATCCACTCATTCCATTTGCCTCATTACTACATAATGGCAGTGCATTTAAAGTAGACTTTTAGTACCCAAACCTCACCTATTTTCTTTATTTATTTTATGACAGTCATATTGTCCACCCTGTAATAAAGTTTGAGGGTGTAAAAGTCTAGTTGAGCAAGCAGTTTTACATGAGCTGTAGACTGGTAACATAACTTGAGTTAGCTCCTTAAAAGAGAACTGCATTTCACAGTCTCTCTAGTTTTGTGCTACATGCTTAAAAAATCCTGCCACCCTGGCATCTGAGATCTCACTGCACACAACTCTTTGGGCCAGTATGTTCCTTAGCTTCTTGACTTAAAACCTAATAGTTTGTTAGGCTTTAACTGAAAGCATTGCTGCCTACCTGTTAAGAGAGTACACAAACAGGAACAAAACTAGGCAGCAATATCCCAAGTTTGAACTGAGCCCAAGGGAAACTAAACCACATCATCCAGTCCAATGTCTATAAGCTCTTCATCTTAAATGATGCACAGACACCCAGTTCCAAGGGCTGGCACATTCTCTGCAGTGAAAGGAAACCTACCTGCTAAGATCAAAACTGATCAATATAAAGTCTTCACCATATTCTTTAGAATGCCAGCCTCAATAAGCACTGCTCTTTTTCAGCTCCACACCTTAAGTTTTGTCCTGTTTTAAAACCGATGGTAAGTTACCTTACTAAAAGAGAACTCTTACATAAACTGCCCTTGAAAACAGAAATCTCAACAATTTTTCAATTAATCTTATTAAAAAATTAAGCAACTAATAAATTATTTTCCTACATATTTTATACTCACCCCTAAGGAATCAGTTGCCCCCCCCATTTTGTACACAATGTTGGGACAATTACCAGTGGAGATATACTGTAGAGAAACTCAGGGCACCATTTTTCCCCTCATCAGATGCAGCCACATACCTGTCTATCCCATGGGCATCAGATCTTAGAGCTATCAAGGGGATTTGTTGAAAGACAGTCATGTTCCACGGTACTGCTCATTCTACAAAGTCCAGTGTATTCCTTCCTCAGATTTCCCTTTCAAGACATGAGAGCACCCTCTCAACGAAAAGACTTCCTTGGGCATGGCGCAGTGGAGAAACACTTGGATTTGGGAGTTAGGAGGTAAATTAGGAGAGGAGCTAATAGATATTACAAGGAGCCAAGGATCTTCATCTGGTAACACCTGTCTTTAAAACCTTTCAAGAATTCCAAAGACTACTGGGAGTCATATGCTTTTTGACTGCTTTAATCACACATGTTCAGCCACGGGTGTTCAGAGAACCTGATCTCTCCAGGTGACCCATAGTGGATGAGGGGAAGGCTGTGGATGTAACCTAAACTTCAGTAAAGTTCTGGACACTGTCTCCCATAGCGTTCTCCTGGAAAAACTGAAAGCCCATGACTTGGACAGGTGCACTCTTTTTGGATGTACTCTGTCTGGATGGCCAAGCCCAGAGAGTGCTGGTGAATGGAATGAAATGCAATTGGCAACTGGTCACTACTGGTGTTCTCCAGGGCTCAGTATCATCTTTAACACCTTTACCAATGATCTGGAGAAGGGAACTGAGTGTACCCTCAGTCAGTTTGAAGACAACATCAAGTTGGGTGAGAGTGCTGATCTGTTGGAGGGCAGAGCCTTCCTCTCCTCCAGAGGGATCTGGACAAGCTGAATTGATAGGCCAAGGCCAGCGGTGTGAAGATCAACAAGATGACATGCCAGGTCCTGAACTTGGATCACAACAACCCCCTGCATCACTACA